GCCGAGCCCTCCGCCGAGGGCGGAGCGTTTCCGGGGTCACGGTCTGCGCGCGAACCTGTGGCGCGTTCCAGCCCGGGAGAGGAGCACCGCACAAAGAGTGGAAAGCCTCGCGCTGCAAAAGCGTCGGCTCGTTTGGGGGTGGGGGGGTGGCATTTGATGTCCAGAAACGAAAACAAGTCCGAGTTCTTGCGCCTCCAGAGCTCCGCTCGCAGTTGGTGGGATACTGAGCCTTAGCACTTCCCTCGACAGGGAGTTTTCCTTCCAAGATTGCTTTGTACCAATTGCACGGAGGCTGGAACTGGTAGTTACGCGAGTAGCAGGAAGGCAAGGGAATGATTAGCTGGGCTCATGGTAACGGCCTGCAGCTGCCCCTGAATCACAGCATCAACTGGTTTGGTTTGATTCGAAAACGAGCTTACTTCCTCAGTCTACAAAGTTACTGTTCTGTGTTTGCGGAGTTGGCTTTTTATTGGTAAGTGTTTCTTGCTATTAAGAAAATCCTACCTTTGAGTAAAGAACCTGACCAACAGAAAAGGGAGTTGGGTCCCAAGTTTGTCCTGACTTGGCTCATGGCCCCTCTGGTGGTTTAGGGGTGAGTTCTGCATCTTGTTGGGCCTTTGTCTGGTGAGTCTCACTCCTGGTCTGGGGCCTTGTTTCAGAAACAGCATGGGGTCCTGGGAGGTCTGTCAGGAAAGGACAGGGAAGTGCCAGCTGGGCTGGAGGGTCTCCTGAGTGCCCAGCGCCTGGGTCAGGTAAAGTGGATACCTTCCCTTCCGGAGGAGTTTCCGTTTGGGTGGGAAAACCCATCTAGGGCTGCTCACCCATCATCAGTTTCACTGTGGGCCACCCAGCGGGGCGTCAGTAGTGCTACCATCCATTTTACAGGTGAGAAGGTTGAGGCTGGGAGAGATGAGCACCTCACCCACACATGCAGCCAGTAAGTGGCTCTAAAGTCTGTGCTGTCAGCCAGCAGAGCATGATCTGAGATGAGTGGGTTCTAGTACAGCCCACTCAAGCTCTGGAGGAAGGTGGTGAAAACTTCCAGGGTCTGCCTGCAGAGCCCAGCTCCTGTCCTGCAGGCTCTCTTGCAGGTCTTGAATGTTTTACTTTTGCACGTTATGACTTTGTTGCTCTCAAGTTTCCAGCAACCCTCAACCACTCCTTAAGTGCCTCTCTTTATTGGTTGGGGAAGGTAGATTGGATTTTTGGGTTTTAAGTGTGGTTCTGAAGGAGTGCTCCCTGTTGTAATTAAAATGTTACAAATTGGCTGCTTTCTTCTGGCCTGCAGGAGGCCAGTGGGAGTAGAAGCACCACTTTGGAGACCTGGTCCATTGGCACCCCAAGGAAGGGACTGCGTGAGCTCCTATGGGACCCCTTCATTACCTTTTACACCTGAGATGACCACAGCTGGGCACTAGGACACGGCCTGCAGGGGAGGCTTTGTCCATTGTCAGCAGAAGTGGCCTGTGGCAGGATCCTGGCACTCAAGTCAGCAGGCAGGCAGCACTCAGGATTGCCCTGCTGGCCTGTTCTGCGTCCTGGCCCGGCCCAGCCGCTCTGGAGTGGTCTGAGTGTCAGTTTGCCCATACGGTATCCATGGCTCCTCAGTGTTCAGATTGCTGCCCTGGGGCTTCAGAAACCTATTTTGATGCCTGGCCGAGTGCAGACTCGCCAGGAACCTCGTGCCTCACTTCAACGGCCGATGCTGGGCTGCTGGTCTTCGGTTTTTGAATTCAGAGGCGTCTGGGAGCCCGTGCTATGTGCTTTGCCCTGGCCGGTAAAGGGCCTGCTGTGGAGATCCTCCTTGTCCCTGAAGCCACCTGTGGGAGGGGCATGTTTGCCAGCCCTGGGGATGGGGTGGGATCAGGTTCTATTTAGAAGAATGATTTGGAAGTGTGGGGTTTGAGAAAGTCGCAAAATGAAGGATTTTTAGACTTCTGGACTATTGCCCCAGCCTCCAACCAGAGAGAGCCTTAAAGACCAAAGCTGGCAGGTGCTCTCCTCTGCCCTGACCCCCTGCCAGTTCTCCGTCTACCTCAGGCATTCCCAGGTAGTCCCCAGGCCCTTGTGACCCGTGCCCCCGCCTTCCACTCTTCCCTCTGTTCCTACGCTGAGCCCACCTCATAGCAGTCCCCTGCAGAATGCCGCAGGTTGTGTCCGGGTGGCCCGCCTGACCGCTGTTAGGACTGAGATGCCTCCCGTTCCATCATCCTACTTTGCGTCTCTTGGCACCTAGTAGTTCCCAGCACTCGACTTCCTCCCGTGGGAGCCCTCCAGGCAGTGACACTTGTGTGATTCCTTGTTTAAGTTGCCTGATACCAGACGGACCAGGGAAGGAGATCCTGGATGTGGCACTGATTTCCTGACAGGTGCACGGATAGGGAAGAAATGGGCAACCAGAACTCTGGGACTGTACGGTGGTGAAGAGAAACTCTGGGTGCAGGCCTGGTGTTACCTGTCTTGAACTTAATCTTGAGGTCGAGTAAGGTTAGAGCCTTTTGGAAGGTATGATCAGGGGTCAGAGTGCCAGAGCTGTGGCCCACATCGGCAGATGTGTCATCATGCCTCCTGAGTGGGGGCTTTGATTGAGACCCTCCCTTTTTCATATGATGGGAGAGTATGTGCTTCTTGACAACACACCGCATCTGGTTGGTCTGGTGGTTTGTGGTAACTCACCCGCTAACTGAGACCTGGGCTCCTGGGTGATGCTGGAGGCTGCTGTGGTCTTCTGTGGTGGCAATCCCAAAATTTCCTCCTCCATTTTGCTTACTTCTTGGGGAGTCATCCAAGAGCTGGATCCTCCCAGAGTTCCTGGCTCCACGGGACCACTGGGCCTGGGGCTGTACCCTCATAACAAGCACTCAGTGAGGCACCTGCCCAGGTCCACTGATGGCGGGTCTCCTATTGAACTTTTGACCCCCCCCACCCCTCCTGCACCAAGGGGCCTGTTTGTGTTGTCTTATTGGGGCGTGGGGGGAGGCGGCTGTGTACTGCACATGCTGGGACAAGGGTGCAATTTGGATTGCTGGGGCAGTGGGGGGGGGTCAGCCTGAGCCAAGGTTGGGGCCGGGGCAGGGTGGGATGGTGGTGCTACTACAGGAAAGCAGCCCTCTCTGGAGTGGAAGGACCCCCTGGGTTTGAATTGAGGCTTCACCCTTAGCGAGTAGGTTATTTTCTGAATCCTCCTTTCTCTGCTCTGAGATGGGCTTGGTGGTCCCCAGTTTTTTGTTAAGACGGAGGCAGGGCCACCACAGCTGGTTTCCAGTGCTGTCTTTGACAGAAGTTTGTTCTGGGCCTGGTGGAAAGCCCTGTAGTGGTTGCAGAGAGCACCCCATGTTGTACTCGGGAACTGAACTCAAGGTGTTGGACTTCGTCCCTGCCAGAGGCCCAGAGGAGGCCTGTCCCCTGGACGGACCCACCAGTGCAAGCCTGCAGGGTCAGGGCCAGCAACCAGCAAGCTGCTTATAGGAGACCCCTCCCCCTTGGTCTTGTTAAAGCCTTGCTTCATGAAAATACTTGATTCAGGGTGTCTTTAGTGTTTCGATGGACTCTGAAGACCCACAAACACACTTAGGGTCAAATTCTCCAGCAGTTTTTGTGACCTCTAAGGGCCATGTTTTCATGGGCAGAAGGAAGTCGAGGGCAGCAGGTTACAATTGCGTGCCCAGTGCCTGGCTTGGTCTGTGTGCTGAGTAAGCAGCTCCCTGGAGACAGACAGACAGTCCCAGGCAGTAAGTCTGAATGGTTGATGGCACCAAGCCTTGTGGGTCTATGGCCCAGAGGTGAGGGGGGAGGCATCCAGAAACGACCAGGAGTTTGAGCAGCCCTCTTCCTGGTGGGCTTGCGGGGCAGGTGGACGTGAGGTGGGCGGGGCCAGCCTGACTGTGGGGCTCACTCTTTCTGTTGACTTTCCCTAAGTAAATGGGAGGCAGGTCTTGGTCCATTCACAGCAGGTGGTGGGGCAGCGGATCTGCAGGTGGGGCTGTAGGATGAGAACGCACCTGGGGCCGAGGGGGGCGCCCAAGCCCTCGGGCCTGCTGACTGGTGGGCCTGTTGGATGCTGCAGATGCGGGTACTGCCTCTGAACTTGTGTTTGGCACCACTGCTGCACCCTGTGTGGTTAAACTGCTCTCTGCCTGGGGCACTTTTCTCTCAATTGCCTTCTAGAACAAGGACTATCCTCCTGGCCGGTCTGAGTCTAGATTCTGGGCCCCTAATTCCGACCTGGAAGCCTGACAGCACCCTGTGCCTGCAAAGGGGAATTCCCTGTCGCTGCCCCTCCCAGATCTCAGGTCCGCGCTCTGGGTGTACTCACCTTGTCCCTGTCTCTCCTGCAGAGTCAGATGGTGGAGTGGGGTCCCTATCACTCCAGCCAGGTGGTGCTGCAGGAGGGCAGGACAGGTGCACAGGTGACGGCTAGGAGTGCATGGCATCGCCTCTCCCATGCAGCCCCTAGCAGCTATGTGACCTGGACTGGTGGCTTCGCCTCTGGACCTGCATGTCACCGTGAAATGGAGGTTGCAGCACATGCCGTGTGGGCCTGGGGATGGGAGTAGGGCCAGGCAGGGTAAGAGGCAGAGGGCCCCAGGCCGCCTTTGCTCATTGCACGCTCTGCCTGTCTCTTCCAGGGACTCGAATATGTCGGGGATCGCCCTTAGCAGACTCGCCCAGGAGAGGAAAGCTTGGAGGAAAGACCATCCGTTTGTAAGGAAAGCTCTCCTTCTGCACACCGCTGGGTGGTCGGTTTCCCCTTGACGAGAATGTCAGGCCCCTGCAGGTCGGCCGTTTGGCCTGTGGGCTGAGACCTGTGGGCTTATCCTGCGAACAGGGAACCATCTGCCGCAGCGCTGATGTGCCTGTGTGTTGTTTTCTCAGGGTTTTGTGGCTGTCCCAACAAAAAATCCCGACGGCACAATGAACCTCATGAACTGGGAGTGCGCCATTCCTGGGAAGAAGGGGGTAAGAGGGTCCACGCCCCCTTTGGAAGCACTCAGGATTAAGTGTGCATGACACTTGTGATGGTCATGCAGGCCCTGGTCCTGTCCCCTGGCTCAGGGGACAAGGTTAGAGTGACATGTGACCCCTCCCCCTGGCAGTGTTAATTCAGACAGGAGCTGGGCTATGGCAGGTGGGGAGGTGTGCTGCCACACAGGTCTGGGGCCCAGGCCCGGCTACCTCCCCGGAGCAGGAGTCCTGGAGGAGGGGCTGAGGATGCGCACAGGCTGACGCAGCTGCACGTGGCGACACTACCCTGGGGGTCTCTGAGCCCAGGGTTCCTGCAGATCCTTAGGTGCAGGGGCCAAGCATTGGCCACCTAAAACGGCTGCATGGGGTCCTGCATGTCCTTCACTCGTGGGCCACAGTGTTGCCTTCTCCACTCACTTGAGTGTGCCTGGGTTCATTAGGGCTGGCCTGTTGGAAGTGTTTGGGAGTGAGGGTCTCCAGTGACCCTGCATTCTTCCTGGGTGACCCAGGAAGGAAGGAGGAGCCCCCTGAGGTGTCTGGGTGATGACGGGGCCTCATCACCTGCATTTCTTCCCACCCATGGTTGTGAAGGTGTGACAGGACTGGGTTGGGGTGGGGAGGGGGGTTGGGTCATGGAGCTGGGAGGCTGCTCCAGGACTGGTAGGATGTGGGGGAGGGGCCTTGCAGAATGCCCCTCTAAGGGAGCCCCCAAGTCCTCACCACACCTGCTTGATGTGGATCCAGGGTGCCAGCCCCCCAGGGCCATCTGTCTCTCCAGGGAGGGCCCTTTTCAACTAACTCTGGGGCCCATAGAGGCACCGAAATCCTGGTGGTGGGTCACTGGAGTTGCATGCCATTAGGAACCCTTTCTGTGGGGCCCTCACAGCCCTTGGGGTGTGGCAGGAGCAAGCCCCTTGCCCCTCCTGTGCCCAGCCCACCGCAGAGGCCCATAGCACACCTAATCATGGTTTATTTCCCAACAGACTCCGTGGGAAGGAGGCTTGTTTAAACTGCGGATGCTTTTCAAAGACGATTATCCATCTTCACCACCGAAATGTAAGTAGAACGAAGTCCTCAGAGGTCATTCAGCTTCAGCCATGTTCCAGCAGGGAGTTCAAAGATCCTCTTCAGAGAGCCTGGGCCTGAGAGCCTGGGTTGTGTCCCATTCTGTCCCAGGGGCAGCTCTGGAGGCTCGGATCCCTACACTAGGCCTAGAAACTGGAGGTGCACGTACCAGGCCTAGTCTCGGATCCCAGCTCTAATCACTGGCAGGCTGCTGGGCCCTTAGTACCCGTCAAGAATGAGGTGCCACCAAGTTCCAGCCCTGGATAGGGACGGACATGCAGAAGGACCAGAGGTCCTCAGGGTTTCGTCACCTGGTAGAATTTCCTTGCTGTGTTTTGCTACGTGTGCAGCCTGGATGGATAGTGTGCTTGTGCCTGCAGAGAAGGCGGCTGCATCTGAGGTAGTGCTGTGGCCACAGTGTTATGATGCAGTTTAGCAAAACTCAGGAGGTGCCCCAGATGCTCCCCTTTGGTAGCTGGAAATCCACTGACATTGTCTGTGGCTGGTTCACTGAGCGTGTCAGCACATGCCCCAGCGTGTGAAGGGTGCCCAGCGTGTGCTGGGGCCAGACTGCCAGCGTTTACTCTAGAGGTCGGTAATTAATGGGAGAGAAGCATGTTGTCCATTAGAATGGCATGACCAGAAGAATTCCTAAGGCTAACAGTTAACCACTGGGGGGGAGGCTTATTTCATTTGGGGTGATTTTTGCTATTTTTTTTCCCATGTGAAGGTATTACTTTGAAGAATGTCTTAATTAAGAAACGAGACTGTTGACGTTATCTCTGTCGTTTCACTTTTATTCTTGGTGTCCCATGTTCTTTTTGTTCCTGTTTCTCCTTTACTGTCTGTCCTATCTTGTACTGAGTGAATTTTCTAGTATAACACTTCATTATTTTCAATGACTTTTTAGCTATATTTTTATTTCCTTAATAGTTCATTTAGGGCTTTCAACATACTATCTTTATCATAATATACTTTAGATTTTTACTAACTGAATTGTAATGAAATATAGAGACTTTACTACATAGGCCCTGTTTTCTTGGCCTCAGCCTCCTGAAGGAGACCTTCTGTTAGGTTGAGCTAGGGAGGAGCACATGTGGCTCCAATGTCACAAACTCACTACTTTCAGCAAGATTATCTTAAACATGTTTCCATTTGCTGTTAAGAAAAAATAAAAAAATCAGAGAAATTGCAGCTTTCATCACTTCTGTTCCACATTATATTGGAATTCCAGACACAGCCAGGCAAGAGTTGGAAGAAAGCCCAAGACTGTAGACACACTCAAAGTCTGTTCTAAGATTGCTGAATAAAAGATTAATTCACAAAAACCTATTTTCGTGTAATTGCAACAAATGAAAGCTTTTAAACTGTACCATCTTCAGTAGCATCTAATGCCATAGAATAAATCCCACAGAAGATGCTCAAGACCTCCCTGCTGGAAATGATAAGAGTTCCTGCAAGGATCAAGCGTGGCCTGCATCCCTGACGAGACGGGCCATGTGTGGGAGTCGGAAGATGATGCGTGCCCATGTC